TGACAAGCCACAGGGTTGGGTAGGGGGTGAGGAGTAATCTGAGGGAATTGCAAAAGTGCAATTCCCTCGGATTAGTGGTAATAAAGATATTCATAATAGACAAAAGTGCTTCAGGTTTTGTGGAATTTTCGAAAAAAGAAAATAAAGTCATCAGTGGGTTATTCAATTTGATCAGCTCTAAGATGCCTAAAAACTTTTATTTCACTCTTTAAAGCCTTTTAACAGTATAAGTATCAGCTGCTAACACCATTAGCTTTTGTAGCTGACCTATCCAACCACCAAATAACAGGCTAGGTCCAGCAGCAGCAACAATCCCACTGCAGTTTCTCCAGAAATCAGTCCTGTTTAAGTCAGTCACTATCAGTCCTGCACTAAGTTGTCAGACTTCTTATGACAGTGTGGAGTTTTGGAAAGCCGTGTTTAGTAAGGACTAGTAAACTTTTTTTTTCTTCAATTTAGTTGCTCAAAGTTGGATTTTGTTTTCCTGCATTCGTGAATCAGTCAGGAGCTGAATTATTATGATTGTGCAGATTCTTCCGGTGTCGTGTTCTTTTTCTTGTGATAATGTCACATGTGTTTTCCTGTAAAGTGAGAAATTGTGAGCTACTGAAACATTTTAGAGTCTCGACTTGACTGTTGTACGTTTACATGTCGTCCACAGGTGGAGCTACATCCTTACCTGATCCAGACGGATATGATAGAGTTCTGCAAATCCAAGAACATTGCCTTGACTGCCTACAGCCCCTTCGGTTCACCTGGGAGACCCTCAGAACTGTATGAGGTCTTTCTCATGATCCACACCGACAACCAAAACAGAAAAACAGACACGGAGAACTTTTTGTTCTTTAAATGTTTGAAACCTTTATTATATATACAGATATATAACATATCTCCAAGGCTGAGAAGATAAAAAAGAGATGTTTTTTTGAATATTTTTAAAAGTTCGGCCAGTAAACTGACTCATAGGAAGTAAAGGTCATAACAAACGTGCTGTGCAGACTCTGGATCTCATTTTGATGAAGTGCAAACTATTTTATGGAATTCGACTATTGGGGTAGAGAAAAATAGATGTAAATATATCCTGATATTTAGGATGGTTTTCATGGCACAAACATAAACACATGCACTATTTATAATGGTGTGGTCCTCTTAGGTTGCAGATATATTTTATCTCAGTGGTTCTTTTGTGTCCCCATATTAGTTTGTCTCTTTCCGTTTGGTAGAGCTAATTTTATGTCTCTTTGTGGTCTGCATCTTTTAGATATATGCAGCTAACAGTAGCTAATAGCTACATCCAACAGAGGCCTTGTTCATCTCTTAACCCGTCTTCATAAATCCTTCCCTGTCACAGGTTAAGAGAAGACACAGATCCA